ATTTTAGATTAATCTTCGGGACGTTGAAGCAATACTTGATTATCGTACAATAAAGATTGTTGTTTCGCCAGATATTACTCGTGCTTTTTATGTATTCAATGTGGGTTTTTTTTCTTCTAGATTTTTCTGCTGCGTCAAATGTTGATAGTTTTGTTTTTTGTTGATACTCAACGACAAACTTCATCTAGTTTCAATTCAAACTACCGTTGTCAACAACGATTCAGTAGGAGAGAAAAACTTAACGACATCATTATTTTCTCCTATGATTCTTTCCAACTCTCATTTGCTTTTCATTTAGATAAGAGTCGCTTTAATGTCAATATGTTGGATATCTTGTCTCACTCGTTGCTTTTGTTATTCTTTATTTTGATCTTATTAAAACGATTGCTTTTCTCTTTCGGACAAGAACATAAAGATAACAACAAAAGTATATTTCATTTTTAGAGCGATATCATTGGAAAAACATGTTTTACTGACCGAAGTAAGGTGGATTTAGTTGATGAACAGTGGCGTAGCCAGAGATACGGCCATTGGACAATTACCCATGGATTTTTGAAATGATACCAATTGGCTAATGCTGCAAAATCTTGATATACATACATGTACAAAGATTCAAGTGATGACATTGTATCGTGTTGTGAGCTAATCAAGTGTTTCCGAAAAATCAACTGACTATTTCTTCCATTAAACCAATGCTCACAATGATGACAATTCAATGGTATTTTTTTTTGTCAAAATACTCGTTATTCTACTTAAACTCACTACTGGTTCTATTTGTGCTTATTTATGTTTTTTGACATAATATATTCAAATATTTGAAAGTTGAAGAGTACATTTGTGAAACAGTCCAAAAAAGTTGTTAGTGCAATCCATGCAGGATTAAAATGTGAAAACCGATCTAGCTGCTGTTACTAATCATGAGAATATTGTTTTATTCAATCTATCTTGGGACTCATTTTTTATCATCGTTTACTTAATCCTCTAGAACTGCAAGAAGGAAGGAATTCATGTATTCTCATGAGATGCTAGTGATCTAGGATCACTAATCGTGTATCAAAAACGTCTGTCACGATCTATGGAAGCACAGTGAACAGCCCAGGCAACAAAATCAATTTTCGAGATTTGAGTCTATATCATAGCTAGCATGGAAGCTACTGTGGTGCTGCATTGAAGTGCATTCTGAACGCTACTTTATAGTGAGTGTTTGTTAAGCAGCAGGTACCACAAAGTACATCAAATTAGTGAATATCATTAATAGAACCATGTAAGTAACTTGTATGTATTAAATTGAGGGTCTAATTATAATCATTAGTTATTTTCTAGTATATATTACAGACCATTTGGACTTTTTAAAGTTCTTTAGGGTATAATAAGATCAAAAACTTACGCTCATTGTAGTACAAAAATAACCACTGGTCAATAATGCAGTTATTTTCCCGAAACTTTAATTCGAGTTTTAATTTGTTATTTGATAGAACATGTCATCGTCTATCTTTAGTGGATGCGCAAAGATGCGCGTTTAAATCCTTGTCGAGATATCGTGTCTCAAATGTAACCTTCTATCAAAATTTGTTGACAATTTTATACAGTGATCACTCATGTTCTAATCCATCAAGTTTCGAATAGATAAATAAACAGCACATGTACACCAACCTCAGGTTTTAGATTGACCATTTCATTTTAAAATCGGTTCTTTGACTTTTTTTTAGGAATTAAATATATGAAAAAATCATGCATATGTTACCTTGTAAGACGTACACCTCAAACAAAAGTCTTTCCTCTCTTTATCTTTTTATGATGTCAAATTTTGTATTAAATTTATTACTGAGTAGAGATATGACATGAGAGTTTGATTTCATTTTAGTGCACAGATTACACTAATAAAACTCTCATGTCATATCTTTACTCAGTAATAAATTTGATGCAAAGTATGACAACATAAAAAGATAAAGGGGAAAAGACTGTTGTCTGAGTGTGTAAATGATTTGTTTCATACTTTTATTATTTTCCCGTTCGTAAAAATACACCGAGTTGCACGATCTTTCTAGATTTCGTCCGAGACTAATAATGTTAGTTGAAGTGAATGGTTTTCGTAATAAGAGCCAACAAAGATGGCAATACATACTATGAATATTGAGAAATTTAGGTTTTAAACAGAACTTCAGGAAATATGAAATATTCGGGTACGCATTTTAATACATTTCAGGACATATTACAGAATGGTTTCAAACTTCACATAACATTTATAAAAATTTTCCTACAACATAGCAGCGAGACATTGCTGAAATTCGCGAAATACTATAAAGTGATCCGAAGTATCTCTGTCATTTCGTTTTTTGTTGTAACAATCTTCATACCATTAGTGAGCTCATTTACATGTCACAACTAGACTTATGTCAAACCTGAACATTTGAATTTGATGAATTTTCTTCAATATTTGTTGACTCGAGTTTGGGCACTTTTTTTCATCCTCATCTCTACATTTTCAAAATATTATCTGATGGATACATAAAAATTTTAAAAAAGAAACTGTGTCTTCTATGTAAACATTTACCTAGCTAGAACTATTAATTAAGCTTGACGGTTATTTGTGACTAACGTCGGTCAATCAGACCATAAACGGCCGGTATTGTCAAAAAAAATGCAACTGTGGAATCAATCCTCCGTAGAGATTATATGGTTTTCTAAAAATTTTAGATTACCAAGTATGTTTTAGTTTGTCACTCTCATATGCAAAACTCTAACTCTTCTGAGTTGTATGTATCGCCTGCTTACTAATTTATTTATAATTTTCTATCAAGAGGGTGTGGGTGTGGGTGCTGCGTATTCGTTTATACCTACTAAGATAGAATGAACACCCACATCCACACTCTCACGGACAATGGGATCCATCATCTAGCCAATGCACTTAAAACGAACAATTTCAGTTATTCTTTAAGCTAATATTTGCAATGTATATGTTCACTTTATTTTAGCACAAACGTGATAAATTTTTCTACTATCTTTCATCTTCAACATAATCATGAAAAGTATTTTTAATCTTAACAACTTCTCTCCATTCTTTTTCAAACTGGAGTGTTAGAGAAAATTAAGAAGTTATATTTCTAGTGTTTTATTTAAAACGTGTTACATTTTATCTGAAATTTTATTCTTGATGATGAATGAAATGTTAGCACTAACTTCAATTACACAATTTAATCTATCAGAAACATATTATTGTCAAAGATTATCTACAATCAGAGAAGTTGTCTCTAATTATTAAGAAAGAACAAATAGTATGGGAATATAAATTGCAAGTCTTCTTCTATAAAATATCTAACGTTTTCGCTCAAGTTTCATAGAAAACTAAACTATCTCATACAAATAACCAACTCTGATAATGAAGAATTACATATGATACGATATGTAACGTTTTGTCTTGCGACAAAAAATACTTTTACAATAATGTATATCAGTTCAAAATAATGAATTAATTTCTAATAGAAAATCTGAAAAATGAAGTATTTTTCTTTATGAAGAAAGATGATTAGAAATATGCACAGTTTCCAATTCACTTTTCTTAAGTTTTATTTTCCTAGTTTCTGGTATACAAATATCGATAAACGAATTCTATACAGACTGAGAAATTTTCGGCATGATACATTTCCATGATTTCTACTTGTGTTCAATTCCAATAGAATCAAATCAGACAAGTATTCTGAGTTGTAATTACATTATTTATTTAAAAGTAAAACGTCTTTGAAAAATATCAATTGCTTATTTAGAATTTTATTTGATTTGAAACGAAAATCAGAATGAAGATTTTGATACGAAACTGAAATTTTGAAATAGAATTTCATTAAGAACTGATCACATTCACTTCTGGAGCACATTGATTCTGTTACTATTTGATCGTAATAATCTACAGAAAATTTTAAAACGGCATAATTAATATATCATAACTAACTGCATAGTAACATATGACGAACATGTCAATGTCAGGATTTATTTTAACATTTGAAAAGTTTCTCCTAACTTCATCTAGAAACTGAAAATTCACAGTTAATAAGTACGTAAAGAGCATGTAAATTGACCGAACTAGATAAACATAGATTGAGCATTTTCATATATTGAAAGATTTGAGACATACTCAGAATTCAGCTTCTATAATCTTTCTAATGTTGCATCGTAGATAATTAAGACCGGAAAACTTTCTAATAAAAGAATTAGGGATAATGAGTTGTAACATCTTGCTACATCACTTAAAACAAATAATATAAATTATGATTTCAGCTTATCAGCTATTCTAAATGTTCACTTTGTCACAAAAAAAGTTATGCATAATATTGTTAATAATTAATAGGTGTATCGGCGACTATCATAGAAAGATTATTGATATCAAGCTGTCAAAATTTTCTTGTTAGGGTGTGGGTGGGTGTGGGTGTGGGTGTGGGTGTGAGTGTGGGTGTGGATGTGGGTGTGGGTGTGGGGTGTGGGTCTGGGTCTGGGTCTGGGTCTGGGTGTGGATGTGGATGCGGGTGAGTGTTAGTGTAGGTGATGAAAAGAAGAAAACCTACACCCACCCTCACACCCACACCCACACCGTCACACCCACACTCACACCCACACCCACGCCCACACCTACATCCACATCCATCCACACCCACACCCACACCCCACCCACACCCACATCTCACCCACACCCACCCACACCCACCCACACCCACACCCACACCCACCCACATCCACACACTCCACCCACACCCACACCCCACACCCACCCACACCCTCCACCCACACCCTCAAGATCGATCATTTACAGTGAATTTGTAGCCTAGGAAAAGGCCTAATGATTGAGACCACCCCGAGCTAAAAAGCTCAAACTACACCCAAGGTACAGGCAAAATACTGAACACACCTGATCTTGCCTATGTTTTTATTAGGTAAAAGGTTGTGGGTATGGGTGTGGTCGTTGATGAAACGGATACATACACCCACACCCTATTGTTAAAAAAATAGCTATGGATCAACGTTTTCTTAGTGTTAGTTTAACAATTGAATTTGATCTTGCATTTATTGAAGTAAATAATAATTATTATTTAATATATTCATCATGAAATGGTAATTTATCAACTATAAAAGTGATTCATTCATCTAATCGATGTTCATCTTATGAAGAACTTTTTAATTTAACAATGATAAATTAGCATCCATTACGACGTGTCAAATACTATCATGATCTTTGTAATAAACATAAAGAATTAATTTGTTATTTTGATGAAAGTTTAATGTGTTTATGTACTGATGAATTTCATGCAAATTGTTTTAATTTAAAACGATATAAATCATATTTATGTCGTCGTAATGACTATTGTATGAATAATGGAAAATATCTTCAAGATAAACCAATATGTCCATTAACTCTGATTTGTATTTGTTCAAATTGTTATTATGGAGTTCGATGTCAATTTTATGGTGAAGGATTTAGTTTATCATTAGATGTTATTCTCAATTTTGAAATAAAACGATATGTTTCATTTATTGAACAACCATTGATGGTTATAATCTGTGCAATATTAATAATGATCATGTTTATACTTGAATTTTTGAATGGATCACTTTCAATTATAACTTTTTGTGATAAGAAATTACGAGAAATGGAATGTGGAATTAATTTATTTATTAGCTTCATCAATTATTTCATTATTGATAATAACTGTATTTGCATTGAATTTTTGGTCACTCTTTATAGCACAATCAAATTTCGTTACTAATCCTTCATTTTTACTTGCTCGATGTGTTACTATTGAACCTTTATTGAAAATACTTTTCTCAATGAATAATTGGTTAAATTCATGTGTAGCTGCCGAAATATCTTTGACAATTCGTCAAGAAATTCATGTTAATACAGAAAAAAAGTAAACGAATTGCAAAAAAGATTATATTATTTTTAATAATATTTTCAATTGTTTCAAATATTCATGAATCAATACATCGTCGATTACTTGATGATATTGAAGAAGAACGTACATGGTGTCAAGTACGTTACTCACCAATGATGCAAATATTTAATTCAATTATATTAATTATTCATTTTATTATTTCATTCTCAATAAATCTATTTTCATCAATGTTTGTAATAAAATCAAGTGCTGAACAACAAATTAAAATTAATAATAAACATACGTTTCATCAACTTTATATTCAATTTCAATTGCATGAACATCTTCTTATATCACCTTTGGTTTTAATGTTATTAGCGATTACTCGTTTAATTAGTTCATTTACTACAGGAAGTATTAAATCATCACGGAATCCTTGGTTATTTATTCTTGGTTATTATATTTCATATGTATCACCAATGATTACTTTTATTATTTATATTATATCTTCAGATCTTTTTAAAAACGAATTTTATCAAACAATATGGCGTATTCAACAACAGTTAAGTCAAAAATAAACTTCACTGTCAACGATTAATCGAATCATAGACTATTCCATACTTGTAATTTATTGTTCTATCTGATTGATATCATTAAAATTGATTTCTTAAGTAAAAATGACTTTTGAGATATCTTCTAGTCAACTGATTTGAAAGCACGTTTCTAGATCCTTCTCAAAAACAAAGAAAAGAAAACACATCTAGATATCATCAATAACATTCGTATCAACCCTTTACATTTATTGCGAAAATTATTTTTCCATCAAAATTCACCAACATTTCTGGTCATTTCCCCTTATCTATGAAATGAATTACAATTTTTTCTCCCTTTCTGGGTGTAGGTCATGTTTTTAATTCATTTCACACACATTACAAACCTCAGCAACCGCGCACAAAAGGCCTTAGGTTCTATACGATATTTTGATGCTTTCATAAATATTTGAACGAAAAGTATTGTTCAGTTTATGAATCATGCATAATGATAACAGATATGAAGGATATACGTGAGTTCCACACTTCAGTTCCTTTGGAGCTGTACTAACAAGCTTTTTCATTTATCTTAATTTTGTAATTATAAAAGTTTCATATAGAACCATTCTAATATTATCAAGAAGAATAAACACTGCTGTTTGAAAAATTAAGTTTACTGAGATTTAGACAAAGTCAAATGGTAGAAAATTAAAAAAAAAAATTTCGCAAGATATTACTTTTGATACATGAAATGGATGATGAACTTAACATCTCGTAATATCGTGGAATAAAACGTACAGTTTTATCAAGAATTCAATATTTTCAACAAATTATATGTAAATAAAAAGTGATTATGACAGAGATACTAATGCAACTTAGTTATTGATTACGACAAGCACAGCTTCATTGAATCTTCATGGCAGAAATGAAACACGAATACCAGAATCCACTTCTACAGTTAAATACAATAATTGGAATTTTATGACTTTTAGGAAATAAATCAAACCCTTAGACGCGGTCACCGAAAAAAGAATCGTGATTTGTTTTCAACATAGAGAAGTTTAGACGTATATTAGTTTTTGAACGTGTTCGAGCATGTCTAGTGAATTGCTTATAAACGATTAGAGACGCGTAAAAATCTAAAAACGGTTGCATGAGCAGTAAAAAGGAGATCATCAAATTACTTTTATATCGATAAAAAGAGATGGTTTGTATTAAATTATAGTTTCATCTTGTTTCTATTTATTTCTACTTCAGACCAAGTGCTTCCATTAAGTCAAAAAATATAGACGTTTTGCATTATTAATGAGAGAAAGAATATGTTCTCATATCTTTCACATCATAATTCTAGGCTACGTTTTAAATTATAGATGATCATGAATAGTTATTTTTGAGAATACTGCTGCAATAGAGCTTTATTGCGTCATCTAAATAACTTATTAGAGAATTCTCGTCAAGGTTTATTGATATTAATTCTGATAGAATAGCCTGGAGTCTAGATAAGCAATCTGTGCAAAAGAAGGAATCAGACTACATTTAGACGCGTAAGTAGAATCCTAGAACATCAGCAAACTTATAGAATCAACGCGTGTAATCGCATATTGTCGATAGGCGCCGTTCGATCGTGTTTAATTTAATTTTTTTGGAAATTATAAACGCATCTGTATGCGAAACTGAAATCATCCATGTTGGAACGTGTTTCATGGTTATATGGGTGGTATTTTAATTAAAACAAACTCCTTTTCTTGTAAAGCGATACATAAAAGACTATGAAAACTGTTTAAACTGTTGATCTACACGTCGGACACGAATTGCTTCCAACTAACCATGCTTGAATACATTTACAATGAAAGAAATGAGTACAATTTGGCAAGCCATTGACAGTTTCACCTTTTGAATATGTGTCCATACAGATCTGAAATGTAAAGTAGAAAAAGATTTTTTTTGTCGTTGGAAATAGCTACATAGGAAGCATGAAGAACAAACACGAGTGCTAAACGTAGTTTTTTTTTCTGAGCAAATATAATCTTAGCTGAGGAGGTATTCTGATGAATGAAGCCGTGAATGATGATACTTTCAAAGGATTCCAACTGAACTAAAATGAACTAATATTTTTCTGAGCAGAATGAGAAAATTTTCTGCAGAAGCCGATAGAAGTTTGATGCTCTACTGTTCATATTTCTCAACAAGAAATCAAATGTAGGTATCTTGCAGTAGACAAGTCGTTTCAATGTTTCTGAATGTAACACGAATAAATTTATTCTCCAACCATAAACACACGATGAGCAAAACCACGTTTTAAAGTATGAATTTGCTATGCAGTGAGTGAAAATTATAAAAAGAAGTTGAAGAAACAACTTACAACACATGTATACGCGTCGTTATTAGCTTGCTTTTCGTTGATAGTCCACGTTGGTATATTTCGAGTTGTTGTTGTTGTTGAGGATGAACTTATAGTTGCTGAAACTGATGCCATGCTACTTGTATTCAAGTTTTCTAGTGGATTCAAAACACCATTTCGACGCATTTCTTGAATTCTATTCTTGCGCTCTCGTCGATGATGAACAAAGGTGCCTGTATGAATAAATCAAAGACTGTTAAATTTCAAGCTTGTGAAGTTTAGAAGAGTTAAACACTTTTCAATCAAGAAGGATTTAGACGACCTTTGCTCTCCCATTTATTCACGATTTCAGATTTCGCTCAAAAATCGTGATCGAAATTCTTGTGTTCCATGCGAAGAATGGTATAATTCCAAAACAAATGTCAGAACTCGATTCTACCTCGGGTTTGAAAATCATAGTTTAGGTATGTTGCTTTCAAAAACCCCGACTGTGAGACTTCAAACCATCTTAATCTGCACATTCTTTTAAATTCAAGCAAAAGCATGCTTCCTCTGACAAAGAAAATGTAAGCAAGCTATTCTGCTTGTTCGTTTCTCGCACTTATCTAAAAAATCAGTCTGACATTGATAAATAGTGAAAAAGGCAGATCTCACTGCAATAACTATAAAAAGTTTATATTCCTTGCTTTACAATTGGTTCAAAGTTCTTATTTCCATGATTTCTTTCTGTACACTCACCATTAAAGTTATGCCATGCCATCATGATTCCTTCATCGGTTGGTAAACCATTTGAACCGAAAACACGTACTTCAACAACAAATTGTGCATCTTTTGGTCGTTTTCCATCGCTTCGACGATTACGAACACTAACTCTCAGCTGTGAATTCGGCACTTCCCATTCATACATATGTTCATATTTATCATTATCATAGTCAGAACGAAGTATGAATTTAAAAGGTCCAACGGCACTAGGCGGTTGTGTTGCACTATTTTTTCCGTGGTAATCTACAATAGAAAATAAGTGTGAAAACTTCGGATTTAAATCCGAGAGCTATGTGTACTTCGAAAAGTGAATGAGCCAGATGAGTCATCTTAGAATGTGTGGACATAAAAATTATCCTGGTAAACCTTGCCTATAAACACTTGATTTCTATTGGCTATTGCTCAACCAATAGGATTTGGGGGTGAATACAGCTCAGATTTGAACTCTTCACCTTGATTCACCCTAAGAAACTCGTTTTTCCTATAACTTGATTTCTATTGGTTACTTCTCAACCAATGAGATTTCGAGGCGAATGGAACACAGATTTGAGTTCTGCACCTCAGAAAACCTCGAACTATCATCTCTGTGATGGGAAGATAGAGCTCGAATTGTAGATCATATAGAGAGTATGGACGAAAACAGAACCGAATTCCGTTTAATTATCTTTGCAATAGGTGAGTTAGCTTTCTTGCTTCCTTATGTTTTATATACCATTTTGTAGCTCTTGAAATTCTTTATGGAATGGTATATAATAGTTGGGGTTTTATTTGACTATGATAGGAAAAGTTTTATACGAAAATAGAGAAGGGTCTACCTTCTCATAGGGAAGCATAGGAAAAGTGACAATTTTTGCAATAACTCATGAATGGCTCGGCCAATCATTCTCATCTTCGAACTCGACCGAGATATTGTTAAGACTAAACTGTGTAGAAAATTTCATCCCGATCGGACTCTCCTTTCAAAAGTTATCGTGTAAACAGCCGGACGGTCGGACGGACACACTGACCGATTCTAGAATGTACTCACTTTTTGAGTACACAAAAAGATCATTCGATTCAAAACTAATAGAAACTAGGTAGATTCAGTTTCAAAAGGATGAGTGCTGTCAACCAGCAGTAGTTTAAGTTCAAGTAATTCATGAAGGCACTCACCAGCTATTGCGTTGCCGGCTTTATATATATCATCACTTTTATGTGAAATTTCAAAGAACTTTTCTGGTGTTAGAAGTAATGATCGTTGTACACCTGATTGAATAACTTTTTTCAGCTCAATTTGAACATCACCATTAGCATGTGTAAAATTAATATGTGGAGCATGATCACCTGCACCGGCACTCTTGTCTATTCTTACTACGCGATTTCTTGAATAAGGATGATAACGAGACATCTCTCTTATGAAGGTAAAGCAGAATTTCAACTTTCTAAAAGTAAGATGAAGGGATTAAATGGGAATTTGCAAAAAGCTGCTTTTCTTTCTTATATAATACATATAAGTAAATGAACGACTTGATATTGAAACATAAAACTTTTTATTTTAATAGCAGCAAAATTTTTTTGTAATTGACAGTGTCAGCTAAGAAAGACTATCTTTATGATGAAGTTAACTGACATCGTGTAATTACATTGGCACTATTGCATAGTGACACATATACCATGACCAGTGAATGTTTTTCGTTCTTCGTGTAGCATACATAAATGCTGTTTATAACTAACGAACTATTGTTTTTACTATACGATGACATCATCATATATTCTTTTCCTTTTTATCTTTCATCTATATGATATAGATCGAAAACAACTTGCAAGAGTGAATTCTATCACTTTCGACAGTCTTTCTTTACTGACATTGTCAATTACAAAAAAAACTTTTGCTTTTATTAAAACAAAAATTTTTATGTTTCAATATTAAGTTGTTGATGTAGTTATGTATATTATATTTCAACATAACTGTGGCAGCATTTATGGACGTATTTCGATACAAAGTAAAGTATTGTTTTCGATCTATCTCGCATAGATGGGAAATAAAAAGAAAAGAATGTATGATGATGTCATTGTTTAGTGAAAACAATAGTTCGCTAGTTATAAACAGCATTTATGTACACTATACAAAGAACCAAAAACATTAAAGGGTCATTGTATATATGTCAATATGCAGTATTACCAATGTAATTGCATGATATCAGTTAATTACCTCATAAAGATAGTCTATACACACTAAGATAAAATATGTCGCATGTGTCGCACTTTGCGACACAATGTACGACACATTCAAGTGCGACACGAGGAGCTCGTTGCGACACATTTCTTCCAGCAAGCGCACGACACATAAAAGTGCGACACATGCGACACATTTTGACAACGCGGGTTCGAATCTATTCTTCATCGCTTTTTTCTTTCTTTTTTGTTTTAAAGAAGCGAATAATTCTGTTTTTCAGCTTAAAATAAATTAGTAATACTTATTCGTACAATTCAAGACGGGTAGATCTTAAGATCTCTCCGTCTCGAGTCGATTTGATCTCGATCAGACCGCTTCCAGGCAGTCCATTCTGGATCATCTATCGATCTCTGAACATGTGCTCGAATAATGGCTATTCGAGAAATAATCTAGAAGAAAAGGCATGCAAAAATGTGTAAGTTTAGTCTGTTCAACTGTGTCGGTTATATATAGCTGTGCACGCGAAACAAAACGGTGAATGAATGATTAGCGGACAGACCACGACACATCTATAATGCGACACATTCTGACTGCGACACATTTTTGTAGTGGTGTGTGCGACACTATCGTGAACGACACATTAGTGCGACACATTTTATTTTAGTGTGTACAGAATCTACTTTTGCACTT